GAAGTCCCTTATCGGTTGAATAGTATTATGTTGACAGCGGCTACATGTGAATGCTTCCGACTAATCTCTTCGCGGCCACTTTGATGGTACGCGGATGAGGCAAGTTACGAGTAGAGGGATCGGGGAAGTCCTGTCCTGGGTATTGCATCAGAAATTTGAATCGTGACGAAATGTTCAGTCAAATATGCAACATATTCTAATACAGAAAAGAAAAATTGTATACACATGACCATGATTGAAAATTTCAACATAAAATTAAAAAATATATATGATAAGCATTTTAAAAAGGAAATAGGCCGTATAAATAGAGATCTTCAAAAATATGATGCTTATTCATAAATCAGGCAAAATATGCATTTACATGCACCATCAAACCATGTCCAAAATTTAAGAAATGAAGTAATGCAAACATATATCCAAACGAGCATACTTTCTGGTTGCAAGAAAGAAATATGCATTTGCATTAAAATCTGGTCCCCAGTTATTGCCTTTTCCTAAGGATAAAGGTATAGAGAGAAAACAAATCAAGGTACAGGGGTTTACATTAAAGAAAAATATTTGTTTTACTTTAAACGGACTGAAGATAAAGGAAAGTAATTCTTAATTATAGTCCACAGACCAACAATAATCCTATCTCTGCCAAAATCACTTCAGTAATTACTAACCACGATACAGCGAAAAAGTTTGAGAAGGAAATAAATAAAAGAGTTTTAGAACCTTCAGTAATAAATATAAATAAAATATGAAAAACAGAATTCAAAAATGAAAAAGGAATGCATATACATTTTCATCCCAATTTCCTTATTTTGTTGGATCTGAGATATACTTTCCAAATGATTGTTTCTCATGAAACCTTGTACCCTGAAGATGGTGGTAGAATCTCTCTCTTAAGACAGTTACAATCACCTACCAAACTACATTGTGTCATAACCCAGATAACAATATTGTGACATGACGCTTGAAAGCAGGAATAGTGGAGCCAGAGCAGAAGTCAATTCCTAGCCAACAGTTTGCCAAACACATGTTCCCGCTGCAATGAACAGACATGTAATAATATATTGCCAGGCAATGGTTCGGTAAACACATTATGTGGCACCAGATGAACTGTTTGAGGTGGTGATGTATATTCAGTTCGCCTGGAAGTTAGTTCAGTTCAGGAGAGTTTAATCATTTGGCATTTGTAAGGGAGTTCAATGATTCGATCGTAAGAAAATTCATGAGAAGTTCAGTGTTCAGCTGTGCAGAGCTAACCAGCAGACAAAGGAAGATGAAGAAGTGACCCATTCATAAATTAGAACCAAGTCAGTCACAGCAGGAAGAGAATGCAATCATAGTCTAGTAAGAAATGGAGCGAGTCTTTGACAGTCATTGATTGTAAGCTATAGAATTAATTGTAATTATAAAGGCAGCAATAAATCCAATCAACTAATCCAGAACCCATTATATTTGTAACGCAAACCCCGAATATGTGACAATATGAACCTACAGTGCTATGATAACCCAACCTCTCATTAAAAAAACCTATGAAAAATGCCGTCCTCTGGGATCCATTTGCAGATTTTTCTACCCTGGACATGCAGGCAGTACGTTCCTCCAAACCATCGGTTCACACAAGATCTACACAGCCCCACATCCTTGAAGATGGTATTCTTCATAGTCACTGCTGTGAAAACCTCAAATCTTACATAAAAAAATTTAGTTCTGCAAAGCAGTGACTAACCTTGTCTGTGATATTTAAAATACTTTCATAAAAATACTGAGTCACAATGACTATATGATTAACAAATTCATTTTCATTCTAGATAGAGAATAGAGGCCTTCTACCAAAGAATATCTATGGGCCATAAAATATGAAAATAAAAATGGGTTCTATTACCTGATTTAAATTCAAATGTTTGGGGATATTTTATTCAGCACTCTCTATCCTGGTATGCCTATTACATTCTCAGTAATTAAATAGTAAATGAAATGGAAAATGAACCATACTTACAGTCTGTTAGACTTGATATGCCAGCCAAAGTGGTGATTGGAACACTTGGAATTTCACCATTCATTTTGATGTTGTCATAAACACTATTTCACCCATACTTAGGGGCTTTAGATCCTAAGGGCAAAAATATAAACATATAATAAGAAGGCAAGCTCATTAACTTCCATGAAATTTAAGAAGGCTACAAAAGTTTTATATTACTAACAAAGGCATAATTTCAACTTAATTTCAATCAGACACATACAGCAGAAGACATTAACTTGTATATAAAATTCATCACCATAATCACCCTGGGCAGGTACAATAGGCCAATCAGTGGCTGCCATGCCAAGTGGACCAAATTGGACTCTACCCCCCCACTAAGTGAACTGTCTTGAAATTTGGGTGTAAACTGCATTTAACTGTGTAAATACTGTGTGTATATATATACGCTGACGTGCATGGCACAACAGGAAGTAGGGGTCACGTGAACTCTGCGGACTCGCGAGTGACATCACATACCCCCACCCATTCCATTATCACGCAACGCTCGGTAGGCATCCCCTCCCCCACAGTGACGTAGCAGAGGAGCAGCTCTGTTGTTACCAAGGGATACTGCGGTTACTACACAGCAGTAAACAACTCTCGACAGTGTTGCTAGGCAACCTGTAAACACAGCGTCAGGCAACAGCGGTACCTATCACGTAACGGTTTTTTGTGTTGTCCGTGCCTAGGCTAAATAAGGAGCAGCGAACACTATTCAGTAGTGAGTAACCAGACAGTTGCAGGCTAGCCGCCGCCGGAGATAGTTGAATGGATTCGCCGAAATGTAGTTGAACAGCAACTGAGATAGTGAATTGTATAAGATTAAGACTGCATAACTGTGAATTGTATAAGTGTGGAGCGAATGTGCAATAAATTCGCTATATCAAATATGGCGTGAAGTTACTTGTCATGTGACATACACTCAACATGTGACAATACATATAACAAATATGTTCTCTAAAACAAAAAAATTGGGACAAAAAAGAAACACTCTGACTTCAAGTAACAATTAAAGTCATATAGTATTTTCTTTTGTCTCCAGACATATTTAACATAGAACTGATTTCACTGCTTTCTGTAACTAATAATGTAGTGCCATTTCTGTTTGAACTCTGCATAATCACTATCTAAGATTTTCTATATTTGAGGTATAGGTTTGTCCCCAAGGCACAACATCGTCCATACGGTTATCTGCTGAGCCCAGGGGATACTCAATTGCTGGCTAGTACAAGGCTGAACCTCCTGTGGCCACCCTTGTGTTCAATTAAGCTTTTGAAAGATGCTCTCCTAATTTACTCACTGTTCTGGGCCTCTCCAGGCCTCACCAACCCCTGGTCCACTTCTACACTGGCCCTCGGCCATTTTCCTGAAATGGCTGCGACATTAACAGGTTTCATTACAACAGGACAGTTCCACCACCAACCTATAACGTTTGCCCACCACATGGATTCTACACACTCTGCATGGGTAAAGGTCAAACCATCTGCATGTGACTAACTCATGTCTACATTTGTAAAATGGTTTAAAATCAAAATGAACAGAAGGTATGTCCTCACTGTGATGTTGAGCATGTTCTGGAAAGGGAGGGGTGTCATCATGACCAATTACGTGCAAAAGGGCATCACCATCACTGGTGAGTACTACCAGAACCTTCTGAGAAAATTACTGGAGGAAATCAAGAAAAAGGAATGTGGAATGCTGCGATAAGGTGTGCAACGTCTTCATGACAATGCATCAGCTCATGCTGCTCATGCTACGATGACACTTGCTGCCAGTTTGCAATATGAAACTCTCCCCCATATATCATATTCAACAGACCTGACACCCAGCGACTTCTTCCTCTTTCCATGGCTAAATCGATTCCAAGATGATGAAGATGTCATTTCTGTGGTGGAGGACTTGCTAAGCAGTAAAAATGAGACCTTCTATGATCAAGGTATCCAGAAGCTAATGCATCGTTGGGGAAAATGTGTGGCCTTGCAGGGGGCATACATAGAGAAGGACTAACTTGCATACAATTTCTTGCACTCATGTCTCTATTCCTTCTGGGTGATAATTAAAATTTTATGATTTCCCACATAAAAGTAGGGGAAAGCAGCTGAGTAGGTGGTGAGTCTGAGTGTGAAATATATAACGTGACCTCGGGGCAATCGCCTTATTTGCCTTTCCCATGAGCCCAGTGGGATTGCTGATTTCCCTAGAGCTTGGATGTCCGCAAGCCACTCCCCACTTAAGATGTGTTTTGGGGACAAGCTTGTACCTTAAACGGAGAAAAATCTTAGACAGTAGTTATACAGAAGTCAAATAAAAAATGACACATCATCAATTGCAAATATATATATATATATACTGCATAAGCCTAAAGATATATAAAAATTCTGTCATATTTTTAACTCCTAGTTGAAGTCAAATTGCTCCTTTTTGTGCTGATGTTCTAATTTTAGGAATAGATTTGTAATATAAGTACATTATTTACACAATGAAATGCAATTTACACAAAAATATCATGACAAAGAAACATTTTTAGAATACAAAGTACATGTGAAACTCTGTAATTACCCATGGAGGTACCTGAAGTACAAAGAACACGTGGTGTGACATCTCTACTCACACTTACTGCATGCATCCACTCAAGGTCAATGAGATGATGCACATCAATAATGAAACACAAATTCTGTATTTACCGGAATGGCAGATTCTGAATCTAAGATAACGCCTTTACTAAGAAACATGTTTTTATAAACATGACTTCACATATTATCCTGATTGGCCTAAGTGTGCCTACTGTCGCATTTTCATTATTTGAGAAGAATCTTAGCTAATGCTGAAAGCTGATCTTGCCAAAGAAGTTGTCAGAAACTTCCTGTTAGGTGACAAGCCTCTTACAGTAGCAGTATTGTCCTTGATAGAGCAAGTTCAGTTCAGTAAAGTGCACAACAGATGGGAAGTTATGAGCAGTGTAGTGCAATGCAAATGAGTAGTGACTGTCAAAGATGCAAGCATGCAATAGACATTTAATGCACTTTTCAGATTCCCAAAATGAAGATTCACAATATTTTGAAGGATTATACGACAATGGAGTGATGTGATGGAGGTCATGAAGAAGTGTCCGGCAACATGCATCGCAGATTTATAACATTCCATCTTCACAAGCATAAATGTAATTCAAGAGAATGCTACAACCTTACATGATGTTCAGAAAGAGTTGCAAGCTGGTTTTACTGTTTTCAGAAGATGTATGGCTTCAAAAAAGTAAAAATTCAGGGGATGGACAGCAATGTCATTTCAGAAGAAAATACCTTAACAATTAAAGGTTTAGAAAACACTCCAACAAAACTGATTGGGATGTGGACTATGTTTCGAATCGTGATCCTATAGTCATTGTGCTGAGGCTGAATGTGAATTGCAGGATGTGTCATATTACAAAGAAATTCTATAAGCAAAACTGCAACAACCAAAACAATTTCAAACTCATTCTTTGCAAACCACGCACCCATCATGGATAAATCAGCACTTCAGGCAGGTCCTTCCAGCTTTCAGGACACACACAGAACACACATGCTTTTTGAGGTAAAAACAACTGATAACTTAAGTTAGTGACATTTTAAGGTTACTTACATGAAAAATGTTATTTAGTACATTATCATTAGTTCAAAATGGATGAGTTGTATTATGGGCTGTTGGAAAATAATTTAATGTTAAATATATCGTGGACAGCATGCTACCTGCTTCTGGTCTTTATTAACCCATTTACATTATCTCTTATAGGCAGAAATTCCCATTTAAAGGGGATTCACTTGAAGTGGCATTTCTCTGATATCAGTTAACCACTGATAATGAGGACCCTCTGTATACCACTATACACAACGTACTTTCATCTGACATTTCCACATGACCAACAAAATGACAACAAATATAAGAAAATATAACATATGTTCTGCCATTTTCAAACTATACAAACACCATTAATAAAGAATTTACCAATTTCTGAGAACTTCTGTCTGAAAGAATTAAAAAACCCAGTAAAAAAACCTACTTGTGAGCAGCTTTGTCAATAACAGATCTGCAGTAACTAAATCTATACACAGGCAATAAAATCACAACAAACACATTATGTTTCAAAATGTGAGTAGGCTTATTATACTAAAGAACAAAGGTAAACACAGTATATATTATATCCAAGTAAGCTAACATTCATTTTTTGTGTGCATACATGTGTGTGCAAATGTGCGTGCTCGTACATTTGGGGGGAAGAATACATATTGGTTAAATTCATTATTCAGTACCTGTTTATGAATGTGTGATGAACAAAATGACACATACATCTGTGTTAAGAGTGTAATGTCACAAGTATGGGAACTACAGGTGATACAAATTCTACCCAGGTATCTTATAATGAGGGTTATTTTCATATAAATGTGGCAACATACGTGTGATGTGGCAGGAAAAGTGAACAGCTATTGATTCATGTACACTATGCATGCCCCTACCATAACATGCATCTTACATTAAAGTTTACTTTACTTTACTTTACTTTATTTAATGCATTCTGTCAATCCACATAAGGCCAAACCAACCTATTGGATATAGAATCTGCCATGTTTAAGCATAAAATAATAATATACACATAAAGAACCATGTTTGAACATAAGATAATAAAATATACGTTCCTAACCCATACAAGGACAAATGAAAACACTAAGAACCACTATAAAGTAGTGCAGTCCTATACGATAATACAAATAATAATATAAACACTGATACAGTTGTAGTAGATACATAAACTGTGTAATTATATTATCCGTAGGAGAGACGATCAAGACAAAGTGTTCATTGAGAAGTTGATTTATAATATTCATCAATACTATAAAAAGCATATTCAGTGAGATAGCTTTCTAATAAAAATTTGAATTCTTTAATATCTTTGGATACCAATTTAATGATTGAGGGTAAGTGGTTATAAATCTTGCTACCCGAGAAAAGCACTCCTTTTTGAACTATTAATAGATTTGTGATTATAACATGTGTTAATATCATTAATATCAGTATTAGCTATAAAATAATTTCTGTTCTTAACGACAAAAAGGAGG